GTCTGTTTCGGCTTTCACGAAGTTCTCGTCATACGGAATGGTAATGTCGACCAAAAATATCCTTGTGTGCCCGGTCCATCTGCACAATATCAGGCTTATTCGCAAGAATAATCCTGTTTGTGATGATGGCCCGGTCCGAGTAAAGCCTGGCACGATTATTTTCAAGCACGGCCTCCGGCATGTACTTGTAATACGGCAATTTCCGATCACCCGTAAGTACAAAGATGGAATGTATCGTTTCTAGTAAACAGGTTCTCCGGTTCCTGCGATCACCATACGAAACACAGCTGCATTGTGCTGCTATTTAACGCTGGTATTCTGTGAGAGCGTGGTTCTTCCCCGGTCGAGTTGACCAATACGTACTGCAGCAGTAATATAGTAAATGCCAGTAATATATTAAAATACCGTAATTATTAATTTAATGACATTCATTATTGTCAATTTTTATTTTCATAAAATCGTTCGGTTAATCGTTATTCGTTCGGTCATTAAATTGACTTTTTAATTGTACAACACCCTTATTCTATGAAATAAACGTACAGAGCTCTGTCAAGATGGCAGTAAAAAGTCAGCAGAAACCTTAAAAATTTGCATTGTAATTTGTAGTCGTCCAAAATCATAATAATATTATAGGTCACACTGTGTATAGAAAAAAGACCCGTGCAAAACGATATTTAAACGGTGAATCTCACCATCATTATTCATAGTTAGCTATCATGGGCAAATCTTTGTTACAAAGAGCACTAGATATCTGCGACAGCAAACACCTTGCCGCCGAGCTTCAGCACGTAAAGCAGGTTCTGCACGACAACAAGCTTTGGGTGCCGCGACTACGTCACAGTCAACGAGTGAAGCCGGCGACAGTCGATCGTTTGCCTGCTGTACTACTTTACTGTATTTCAGAGGTGTCACGGAAAACATTGGCTACATCTTGAAGCGAGCTTCTACCAGAACATTCTACAAGCCGCTGAAGAACATTAGTCAGTTCTTACCATCGGTCAAGTATCATATTCCTCTTCCAGATGCAGGAGTGTACAAACATTATTTTAAATATGGTCTCTTATATATAGGGAAAACAAAAAGATCAGTTAGAACCCCCGTAAAAACATATAGCTGACATGAAACACCAACGTCCCGGGAAGACTGCAGTTTGTGATCATATCCTAGACAGCCATCACCATTATATCGGATTTGATAGACGACAAATCCTCGCGAAGGAACATCGATTCCCACCATGGATAATACGTGAGACTATTGAAATTAAAAAAAAAACTTCCTAGTATCAAAAGAGAAAGAGGATGGGTGAGAAAGAGGTGGGACCTACTACGATCCTGTAATTAATAAAATTAAAACTAAGCCCAAGTATATTACTGCAAGACTTCAAGACAGTAAGTTCATTCTTTGTAGATCGGACCAAAAATAATATCGGACCATAATAATACGGACCATAAATAACATAGTTAAAAAGCTGAAGATACTCCGGATTAACACTGACATCGGGACGACAGTCATCTCAGTCCCCTGTGACCATGGGTGGTGACTGGAAAGCACCCGAAACGTCAAGAATTAAAATTCAACAAAGTAAGCGCGATAAAATCCGTGAAAGTAGTTTTATTCAAAGTTAAATAGTTGGTAACTTTACGTTGCTCAATAACTAATTTTGTATCTTAGAATTATTTTACGAAAAAAGTTACTACTTAATGCACCATAAACTAGAAGTAAAACGAAATGAATGAAAGAAGAATGTCGAAAGCAATGATAATTGAGTCAACTAATAGGACAAAATTAGTTGTTAATTTGTGCTGAAAAATAGTGTAAGAAAAGTTACAATAATCCAAGAATCGGCTGGACCTTGCGACGGGTAATTAACTAGCTACCAGTGTCCGCTCTACCATAACACACAAATTTTTATAGATAAAGAGCCGTGCTAGGTTACTCGGCAAAAACAACATTAGGGTTAGAGTAGCTCATATGACACATTTGTATTGTAAATAACGATGAAGGACTAATTAAACTCTTCGAACTAACAACACATTTCTTCATTTCACACCTTCTACATTATTTTTCACCAAAATGCTTAAAGAATGAATAACAACATAGCAACAAAACATCGTATTAAAGTTGCTAAGAATTAATTCGCACATATCCGCTCAATAAATTAAAGTGATGTGTCTTACCTACCGGTTTTTCAAAAACTCTCATTAACAATCCAATTAAAAAGAAACAAAAGCATGTCGTTCGCAATTCTCTGTACGCGGTTCAACCTCAAAGTATCCGGCAATATGTGAACAGTTTGACCTAGTTAGGCTCCATATCTGAAAAAATAGCTTATACCCTTCTACAAAACGGCGTTAACGTGGCATTCAAAACAAACAATTCTCTTAGGAATATCTGTAATAATGAAATGTTGGGTATTAGTCAAAAATGGGGTATTTTTAATTCAAAATATAAGAATCAAGCTGATACACAAAAATATTTTTTATCCCTACAGCAGAAACCACACACGGTTTAATTGCTGTGGTTTATTAACTATAAGATATTGTAAAAATTCTAAACTATTAAATATTATTTTAATGACTGTGGTCTATTAACTATAAACTATTACCAAACTATTAATGAAAATTATGGTAGATTTATATATTTATTTGCTAATCCGCTAATCGCTAAGTATGGTAATAAATATATAAATTTGAGATAAATCAGATTATTACATCATTCAATTTATATTAATTACGTTGTCATCTCTATCTTCTATTAATATATTATATTACCTATACAAAATACCCATGACATACCATACCGACCATGTAGTTATTTGATTAGAAACTCCTTTAGTGTTCTTTCAACTTTTTTATATTGTCGTCGCTGTCTACGCATATCCAGTGAATCAATAGGCCCGTACCTTTAAGACTGCCGAGGCGTTAATAACACATGTCCTCTCTGACGTATACGCAAACATCAGTCTGGAGCACAAAGGAGTTTTCTAATTTGAGCCCCAGGTAGGAGAGGTATGAAGTACCAACGCGAGAGGACACCTGAACGAGAAGAGCAAGAGAACCTCCATCTCTAGATGGTAGAGGATGGCGTTAAGGTTTGAATGAAATCCCCTAATATTGCAAACATTCACTAATAACTCGACAGATGTCACCTCCGTCTTTTCGCTCCGCTTGCCCTGAGCAGTTTTAGTCGCGAGTGGAATTTCGCGTTGTTGCTGCTGGGGCAGTCTGAGCACCCACGCTCAGGAGGCGCGCGGCGCACGTACCAAGAGCGCGTAATCCATACGCGGCTTTAGATAGAATGTGACGATTCTGTCGTTATGCTAGTTTTTATACTGGAGGAGCCAATTTAAAATCCGGTATCAAGGAACTGAAAATAGTCGGGCTAATGACCAGAAAATGATGCGGCGATAGGGTCTTGTGTTCGATTCCCGGGTCGAGCCAAAACCTTATTATGCGGGATCAATTTTTTTTTTGGACTGTATGCGTTGTTCCCTATAGCCAAACAAGATGACTGATGTGGCACGTGGCACCTATCACCAAATCTATTATTTTGCCAGTGTCCCGAGATGAAATTCTACTTGAGCTGTTAGGGGAAATAAAACATAGCAAAGAAAATAAACAGCTCTTCTCTTGTGATGCCTTAGAAGAGAGCGGTGTTGCGCGACGATAACTTGCACTATGCAAGGCGGTTACTTCTAGATTTTTCTGTGGCACGACTACTACAGAGATGCAATCATGACTAGCGTGGAATGGAATGCGTGGATGGACGAAAGAGACACTGCCTAGATACTACACTAAAACAAAATGCGAGAGTACCCGTTTTTTCCCGCACGACAGACCGGTGGAACTCGCGTGCTTATGCGCTGACTCGAGTGTGTTGTGATGTATATTAATTTAATAAGTATAAGTATATATGAGTGTAATAATCAATTTTTTCTGTTAATAAAAGTTTATTATATAATATTAGAAGAAGAAAATAATAGTCAGTACGAGTACATGTAATTCAAAGGAGAACATACTAAACTTCGATACGACATTTTAACCGATAAGGTGACTCTGAGGAGTGATTACTGGTGGACTATCTGTTCATATAGCGTAAATCCGAATCCTGCAGGCCAGTGCGGTAGTCATTATCAGACTATATGCACTATTGATGAGTATGAACTTAATATATTTCAAGCAGCATGTAAGATGAAATATTCTTGCTGTGGTCTTAAAGAGGCACTTGTTGAAAAATGTGATATGTGATAAATTCAGACTGGCGATGGGAAGTGCCTTCAAAGAAGCTAGAATCTCTAAAGATATTTCATTTACATTAGCGGTGACAACGTAATCAATCTTTTTTTTTTTCGTTGAATTGGTGTGTAGGTATTTTTGGATACAATAACCTCTTACTACAAGGTAAGGCAAGAAGATTGTTTACTACTCGTTCAAAGTTTAAATTCGATCAGCCTTATTGGCTTAGAACACTCGCTTTATAAGCAACCATTGCTGATCGAAAAGGAAGCCTCCGTTTCTGCAAAATGGGTCTCCATTCACACATCAAATTAATTTATTTCTATGCAAGTTAAATGTAGTTGTAAGAAAACGTTAAATCGTATAATTTATACGTAACTCTAAAGTATTTCGTTTTAATAATTACCTACTTCTCATTTGGTTCTTAAGTAATGAGGTTTTTTATCTTAAGAGCCTCCCCTTATTGTCTAATGGCACTTATAAATTTTCTATTATCAGCTTTAGCAGGCATTAGGGAAAAGTGTCGATATCACCCGACCAATATCAGTCAAGAAACACAAAATTACAAAAGGCTAAGTATAATATTAATCCATTTCAGATAATTTATGATGTACGTAAATTTAGTAACAGATTTTTAGTTACTAAATTAATGGTATTTGTTATTTACTATGTAACACGATTCACTTAGTATTATTGTACTCGTTGCACGCTTTATATGCAATATTTGAGATCCATTTTATTGCCTTAGAGTACGTCTGGATCCGGTCAAGCCGCTACTGCGTACGGTTTGAAAAGTAATAGAATATGTATGATTGAATGTTGTAATATTTCATCTTGACTATCATAATCACACCCGACGATGTCATCCTGACTGTCCATGTCTGTAATGGTGACGGTGATGTCCTCCTGATCAACTTCAACGAAACCAACACAAAACAAGACATCTTCTATGTAAGTGTAAGTTCTACAATACAATACAATACCCTTTATTGTAAACAAAAAAAAAAACAACAACATAGCAAGAAACAAACAAAGAGAAAAACAAAAGGTGGTCTTATTGCTATGCAGCAATTTCTTCCAGACAACCTTAATAGGAAATAAAAATAAGTGAAAAGTTAAGTAATGGGTATAGAGTGCACTATAAATAATATTATAATCTATAAATATAAAAGAAATTTAAACATGCCGGAATTTACTTAATTGACAGACTAGTGATCATAAAACGACAGGAATAGATAAAAAGAGGAGGGATGATTTAGAAAGAAAGATGTTTTTTAACTTGTTTTTTAAAGGAGTCTATTGTTTGAGCACGTTTTATAGTTAATGGTAAGGAATTCCAAAGCTTAACTCCAAGAACTGAAAAAGATTTACTGTAAAATGTAGAAGAGTGCAAGGAACATAGAAGGGAAAGGTTTTCTAAGGATCGAAGGGAAAGTTTGTGAGAGGAACTGAGAAATTGGAAACGTTCTTTAAGGTAGGGAGGACTTGATATATTAAATAAAACGCAGTAGAGAGCAGAAAGGATATGAGTATTCCGACGAAGACGGATTGGAAGCCACTTGAGCTTAGTGCGGTATTCTGATACATGGTCATATTTACGAAGTCCAAATATGAACCTTATACATAGATTTTGTAGTCGCTCAAGTTTGTTAAGTTGCTCTTCGGTAATGTCTAGATAGCTTATGTCAGCATAATCGAGAATGGGGAGCAGTAAAGATTGGGCAAGCATAATTTTGGTGTAGATGGGTAAGAAGTAATTCATTCTTCGGAGTGAACCATAAGCTGCAAACATTTTACGAGACACTGCGTTGATTTGAGGAGACCAATAAAGGCTAGAATCTAGCAAGATCCCAAGTTTTTCACTACATCATTATAAGAAATTTGAACACCATTAAATTTTATAGGGTTTAACTGAGTTTTGTTTAATTTGGAGATTATTCTTGAACTACCAATAATAATAGCTTGAGATTTTATCGGATTAACAGTTAACCCATAAGATCGACTCCAGTCATGAATACACGCTAGGTCCTTGTTTATATTACAAATTGCTTTTGGCAGGTCCTCTACGGTTTTTTGTAGATATATCTTAAGATCATCAGCATACAAGTGGAAGAGAGAAGATATTCTGGAGGTAATAGAATTTATGTAAGAAGTATTATGCTAAGAGTGCAAATAAGAGAGGAGATAACACGCCACCTTGTGGAATGCCAGCAACGGTATCAAGCCACGAAGACATTCTGTCTTGTACCTGAACACGTTGGCGACGTTCATATAAACCGAATCTACGAAACCAGGCAATTACAGTTGGAGATATGTTAAGAGAACGCAGTACACCAATTAGTATATCATGATTTACATCATTAAAGGCATTGCTGAAATCCAGTAACACCATCATTGTGACTTGGCGGTTATCCATTCCGAAACGTATGTCGTCAGTGATTTTTAAAAACGCTGTAGTCGTACTGTGTCCCGGCCTAAATCCGGATTGATATGAATTGAGGATATCATTTCTTGTGTGAATTGAATTTAATTTTTGTTGGACAAGACGTTCTAGGACTTTGGACAGAAAAGTAAGAATTGAAATGGGACGATACTCGGAATAACTCGAAGGATTAGCTTTTTTGGGCAAAGGAATGATTTGGGCATATTTCCAGTGGGAAGGGAAGGAGGATGTGGATATAGAAAAATTAAGGATATGGGGTAATAATAGACTGATATCATTACTTCCGACAGCGTCAGAATGGATAGAGAGTTTGTTTCTCCTAACATCACAATCTGCAAATTGCCTAAACACAAATAGAGGATAATCAGGAGTGGGTAACTTTGAAAGTTGAGTTGTAGTTGACTTTGCAACATTATCGGTGCAAAAAGCAGAAGAAAAGTGCTGATTAAGCCAATTTAAATCTATATCATTTTGAATCGAGCTTGAATGTGATTTCCCAACTCCAAGAGACCTTAGGAATTTCCAAACATGGCTTGGATCTTCGTTTTGAACAGATTTATGGATATGGCGTCGTCGTAAGTCTCTACACAACTTGGAGGATCTGACTTGTGTCTGGTCTTTGCAGCATTCTTTTTCAGTTCTACCAATGAAGGCAACTCTTATCTACCTCATTTTCACGATAAAATTGTAAGTATATTTACAACCCCGAATTTACACACAATTTGAATATCAGATCGAGAAACACGGTCAGCAATATGTTCAAATGGACATACTTATACCTTATTGATATCAAAATAATAGAAATTCAAAAATTACGTGTATCTCAGACCTATAGATAAAAAAAGATATGAAAATTAATTGGAAGCTTCACTTTGGAAAATTATAAAAGAATAAATAGCCGGGCCAAAATTCCGGCGACTTGGCGCCAAAACAGCTTCCCCCATCTTTTCCCCCACCCCCCCCCCCGATTAAAATTGTACAATTTACCGAACGAATATATTTAAGCGAGCTTCCCGCAAATATTGATACTTAGCAGAAATGTTTCAACGTTCATGTATGTATTTTGAAAGACGTGAATGAGGCAGAAATGATTAAGTACCCACCTCACAAGTACATTGTTTCAACAACGAAATTGTAGTTTTAAAACAACTTTAAAATAAAACTCTTTCTTTGCGTTTCCAAGAATTACTGTTCGTTTCTTACTTATTTTACCGTTACAAACTTTTAATCAGTAAATTTATCGTTATAGTCCGAGATCTCACCGCGTGATAACTACACTACGCCCATCTTATTTTAATGAAAATATATTTTTTGTGAACAAATGTTACTGTTCATAGAGAAATACGTTTAGCTTTACAAAATCTTACTGTCCTTAGATAATGTACTTTCTTATAACAAATTATAAGGTTGATCATCGTTTTCTGTATTACTTTTATCATAAAGTAGTGATTTACCCCTGCTTTGAATAGATGGCTCCTGGATCCCGACAACAGTGACACCTACCGGATGCAATTGTGAATCTAAAACATTCAGGGATCCATTCAAACGCACACAAAAAATCATAAAAATCTTTCGAGCGGTTTTCCAGTTCTAGCGAAACTAACGGACAGGAACCGATTTTATATACATATAAGGAGATAATATAACTAGGTTATTAATTGCGTATTCACGGGCCAATGCGTTGTTGTAAAATTTGGCACAGGAATAGCGCGGAAAAGGGCGATAGATAGAGATTAAATTAGGTACATAGAGTTCTGTTCATTTATTGAGCTGAATTCGTAAAAATCGTGAAACATACAATATTAAATACTATAATATCAATAAACCCCGTACTACCGCACTACATATCCAAATCATTAAAACTAGACCTAACGTTGTCACCCTGAGGACTAAAATGGTATGTCTTGTTACCGGTAAAAAGAAAATAGGTCTCCGGTTCTCCACACTCACCATACAAAACACAAAAGCATTAAGCTGCTATTTTACGGTGGTATTCTGTGAGAGCATGGTGCTTGTACCCATTCGTGATACAAGCATAATAGAGCTGCAGCATGGCTCTACCACGTAGGAAGGTAAGAATGGATCCTATCCAGACATACTCCTAGGCAGGAAAGGGCTACTTATTGCCTGTAATCTATTACACAGACAGGGAATGGCGATAATGACATTCATCATCACATAGAATGATAAAACGCCTACAGAATTAATATTTGAAGGCCTCATAGAAAATTTGGCCTTCTCTTCCAAGTAACCACGAAACACGCAGCGTGCAGCACTCATACCGCGCGATGATCGGAGGTGGGCTTTCCTTGTCATCAAGAGTGGAGTTGGACGCAAAGAGAAAGCCCATCAGAAATTTATAAATACTCAAAATTTATTATTATAGGTATAAATTGAATTTACCAAATCACGAAACGCTACTCGACTAATTAGACGAAGATTCTCTGATGTGAGATTTTTAAGCTAGCTATAATTAAAATCTTTATAATTATTTAAGATATTTTATACATTATCCACACTGACGGTAATGCAGCCAATAATGATAAAAAACAATAAGAACCAACTTTATTATTTAACAACAGCTTTCAACGAGTCCCTTTTATTTATTGACTTCCATTGTGATCAAAAACCTGACACTGAGTTAACAACACTTCTGAACATAGTACTTCTTACAAAGTAGTACAAAGATTATTTCATAGGCGTACATTACACGCTCATGCAAACTGTCAGTTTTACAACAATCACGGTTGTGATTGACGAATAACCTACCGAGTAATGCAGTGATTGACGCCTGCATGAGCGCGTAATGTACGCCTATCAGGCACCATCCGGTTTTTAATCAATCATGATTGATGGAATTGACTGACGCCTGCATGAGCGTACAATGTACGCCATAAGGTATTTTACTATAGATGCCACACTTGGCAGGCGGATTGACAACCGCAGTCATTTATTATTTTAAATTGTTATAAGGAAGATGTTGCTGCCCATCTTCTGAGTCGGTATATCTCAGTTACCTCTTACAACAAATCTGAAATGTTATCAATTAGTGGATTATTTTACGACGCTACCACACGCCAACATTACGGACAGAAAGATTGTGTTATGCTCAAGCGTTCATCCGTATTTTACCGTCTATGGGGGAAGCTACTGACATTCAGAACGATAAAATTTCGGAGTAGAGCTCGAGCTACCTAGTGTTAATGTTCATCAATTGAGTAAAAAATCATGTGACGTTTGCGGTATGAAATGGTCGGTACGGCGAGTTACGCAGCCTGCCGCAGACGCAGACTGATTTCATGTTGTTGGATTTCAATAATTTTTTATAGGATAGGGTGACAAACGGAAACGCAGTCCAACTGATGGTAAGTGATTGCTGTAGCCCATAGACAACACATCTATCCTCGATTACGATTCGAAATTCAGATGCGCTGTCACCCGTGAGGACTGAGATGATATTATGCCCCAGTTCCAATAAACGGTTCGGTTTTTTTCACTCACCATACGAAACACAGCAACAT